ATTTTATGTTTATTTCATTTAATTAATGTATGATATACTGAGCTAAGATTGTCGGTATCCGATCTGAAATTCATAGCATTGTTATGTTTTTTAATCTGTATCATTTCATGGACTCTTCTCTTATTATAATTACTCTCGTTAATCAGTATTTGTGTGTTATCAAAATCAAAATTTTGCAACCTCTGTTGTGCATGCTGTGCTAATGCTGTACCACTTTCGTTATGTTTTCTTAGGCTATACTTATGTTCGTATATTATTTTCTTTAGATATTGTCCTGTTTGACCTATGTATGTGTTATCACAATTCAAACAGTCTATTTTGTAAATTACATTAGGCGTGTCTAACTTGTCAATCCTAGGTTTAAATTTTGTGAAACAAAACGCAAATAAAAATATGGCATGTCATGTTAATGAACTGATAAATGAAACAAAAACATTTATGTATGAAAACACAAACATTTGCATACTAACAGCAGATAAATGTAACAAAACTGTAATTATGTTAAAAATTGAATACAAAACGAAAATGCTAGGCTTAATAAGTGATATAAAAACATATAAATAGCTGTATAAAAAATAAACGGGCAGAGATAAAAGACCATACAAAATTACCCGAAAAATAATTTATTGAGGCGGTAGAGCTGTGTTTAAATTAAACATATTTCCAGTACGAAAACAAGTTCTATTAACAGATATATGGAGTAGCAATGGGTTCTCCCATAACAGCAACAATTGCAAATTTGGTAATGGAAAATTTGGAAGAACAAATAATAACTAAATTAAACTATAAGTGTGAATTTTTTAACGATATGTGATGACTGCATAATGTGCCTGCCAAAAGACAAAATTCAATATACCCTAGACAAGTTTAATGCCGTTCATGACACCCTAAAGTTTACTCTGGAAGAAGATAAAGGCAATTCAATAAACTTTCTAGACCTAACAATTGATTATGATAACAACGGGGAAATCAAAACAAATTGGTACACAAAGGAGGTATGGTCTGGTAGGTATCTGAATTATCAATCGTACGCTCCAATGAAA